ACTGACCGTCCGACAGGGCGGCGCTCCCTCGGCACTGACCGTCCGACGATGTGGGACACGTTTCTCTGAGGTTACAGTGCAGTTCAGGTTGACCCTGCATTTTGTATAGAGAAAACCTGGCTACACATTGCAATTGAATGACTGGAATTCTCCAGGAGGTCAGCAGGGTGTGAGCTGCCATTTTTGTAGCTGGTTAAGGACTGAATCAGCTGACAATTTAAAGCATTCCAGTAGACAGTTATTGACTGGTCGTATCGAAATGGTTTCTGTTGGTAATTGCGTCTGGGAAGAGATGAGGCATGAATTTAAAAACCAGTCTTTTGAAAGACTTGACAAATTTGAGATGTGGTAGAACACTTCCTTTTGAAATGATTGGATGATATCTCACTTGCCCATCCTGCATCTGCACTTGCTCAGAATTTCTGCTCACCGCAGGATATGGGCACTACATACAGTTAAGATACAACCACAGTCTGAGTAACTGGTGGTACAGTCTCGAGGGGCTGAACAGCCTCCTCCTGTTATCACATACCTCCCGTTGCCTGCAGCCACTTTAATGTGAAACTGTCCTTTGCAAGCAGGAGGATGAGGAATGCAGCACTGCGGAGGAGGTGAAAGAGCAGGGCGAGGAGGATGAAATCTGGGCATCGATGGCAACAGTGACCGACAGAGCTGAGTCAAAGCGTACGGCAGACCTACAGGTTACTCCCAAGAGGCGGAAGAGGAGGAAGCAAATGAGCAAAGATGCATAACTTTCAACTGGAAGTAACACTGTTATTCAGTATCTCTCAGTAAATCAATTTATTGTCTTTTTGTAATCCTTCGTATGGAGCTGTGATTTTTTTTTTGTTATTCATCCACGGGTTGTGTGTCTCTGGCCCATCCCTAATTGCCCAGAGGGCAGTTAAGAGACACATTGCTGTGGGTCTACAGTCTCACGTAGGCCAGACCAGGTAAGGACGGCAGTTTCCTTCCCTAAAGAACATTCATGAACCAGATGGGTTTTTCAGACAATGGGACAATGGTTGCATGGTCATCATTAGACTCTTAATTCCAGATATTTTATTGAATTCAAATTCCACCATCTGCCGTGGCGGGATTCGAACCCAGGTCCCCTGAACATTACCTGGGAATCTGGATTAACAGCCCACTGATAGTGCTACCAGGCCACCACTGATAGTGCTACCAGGCCATTGCCTTCCTGCTGCAGGGTTAACTAATTTGAGCTAATCTGGGTTAACAGTTACCAACCTCAATCCTTCCCACACACACACAGGCACCCCCAAAAGCACATGCACACACTCCCCACCTCCACCACCCCCCCACACACTCCCCACCTCCACCACCCCCCCACACACACACAGAGTGTCCCCACACACACAACCCCTACCCTTACATGCCCACAATCTCCCCCTATACACACCAACGCCCCACACACACATAAGGAAGTTCCCTTTTGAGACAGAAGTAAGGAATTATTTCCCTAAGGGTGGTGAATCTGTGGAATTCTTTACCACAGAGCTATTCAAGGCTCAGATAGACAGATTTTTAATCGGTGAAGGAACCGAGGGTTATGGGGCAAAGACAGGAAAGTGGAGTTGAGGATTATTATATCAACCTCGATCCCATCAAATGGCACAGCAGAATCGATGGACTGAATGGCCTACTTCTGCTCCTGTGTGTCTTATGGATAAAATAAACAAATTGGCCTAAGGACTGAAAAATGCACTGGACCCTGGTAGGTGTTGATGTCCCCCTAAGGGTCAGTTCTTTGTCAGGTCACTAAGATATTGGAAAGCAGAGCAAAATCTCTCAACATTTACCAGACACCAAACTTGGAGAAGAGACAAACAATGGGCATGATACCGATCAACTGCAGTAGGATGCTGGTGGACATTTACACTGAGCCTTTATAAACCTCTAGTCAGGCCCCTCCCTCTCCCGGACTAGTGCATTGTATCCAGTCCTTGTTCTCGCCCTCTCCCACACCCCCCTTAGGAAGGAGATGAAGGGGCCCTTGGGAGGGAGATTGATCAGAACGGTCCTGGGAGACGAGGGATTTTAGCCGCAAGAGCAAGGGTCAGAGAACCCGAGTGTGGTTCCTCTCGGAGCGAAGGAGATGGGGTTGGGCTGTGGAGATTTAATCAAGGTGTCTCTCTGTCTGGTTCGGATAGGGTCGGGAAAGACAGGCTGGCACCTATTGGCTGATGGGACAAAGACTTGGTGGGGGGGAATGGTTTCATAGAATCCCTACAGTGTGGAAACAGGCCATTTGGCCCAACAAGTCCACACCGCCCCTGGACCCATTCCCCTACCCTTTCCCTGTAACCTGGCATTTCCCATGTCTGATCCACCTTACTTACACATCCCTGGATACTACTGACAATTTAGCGCGGCCAATCCACCCCTCACCTGCATATCTTTGGACTGTGGGAGGAAACCGGAGCACCCAGAGGAAACCCATGCAGACACACGGAGAGAATGTGCAAACAGGGCATCCTGTGGGAAATAAATTCTCAGGGCCGTGGAGAGGGAGCGCACTCAGCCTGATGCTGCAAGTATTCGTTTGATTTAGATTTAGACTTTATTGTCAAGTCTACTGGAGCATGAAAGTACAGGAGTACAGTGAAATGTCACCACGCAATGCCACCTTAGGCACAAGTACCTCGGTACAAAATTTTACGAACAAGGTTGAAAGAAATAAGGAACAAAGTTAAACATTACCGTCCTCCTTAGTATTAAGTCAAAAAAAAAGCTCAAAGCTCAGCCGTTCCAGTCTTTCAGTGCTTGGCCTGCACTTCCTACAAAGGCTCGATCTCCTTCTCTTTGGCACTGTTACCCTGTGCTGGCTCGATCTTCCCTGCTGTTATGGTCACTGCAGACGGGGCTGGGGGGGTGAGTCTCCAACATCGAGTTGGGTTCAGTCCGGGGATCTCGGCCTGCCAAAGCCCCGATCCAGCTGCCACCAAGCCCGGGTCTCGCCCCAGTCTCCTGTCTCGTTTTCGCCCCACATGCTGAGCATCGGGAACTCACCGAGAGTCCCTGGTCCCACCCCTACCCCCAAATCCGCTGCTTCGCGCTGTGCATCGAGCTGACTGCCAAGTTCAACGAGCCCAATGCCACTGCTGCCTCTCTCCGGAAGGTAAGTCAGTAGAAGAAAACTTAAAAAGAAACACTGAAACTAAAAAGAAAAAAGAACAATGAAAAGGAAAAAGAGGAGTTGCGTGAGCCTACTGTGCCACCATCTCGCAGAATATTCTCCAGATGTCGGAAGGGAGATCCTCAGAACAGACCAGTGATGAGCAGGAAGAGGCCATATGGCCCCTCGAGCTTCATGCACTACTAAGATCGTGGCTGATCTGATTGTGGCTTCAGCTCTGCATTCCTGTCAATCCTGAGTCTGAGTCCCTTCTTAGTCAGGAATCTGTCTGGAAAACTTTATTCAGCGACTCCCCTCCCCCAGGCATCAACCTCCACTGGAGGACGTTCCGCACACTTCAGCCCTCAGAGCAAACTAAATTTCACCTCTATCTGAAATCCCTGAGCTCCAGTCTACAAAACAAGGAAGTGTCCTATCAGTATCCACACAGTCATGTCTCTACGGGATCTTGATGGTTCTGATTTGACCACACTAATCTTTCTAAACCCCAGTGGCTACAGATCTGACCTTTTCTCGTAACGTAACTCCATCAATCTAGAACTCCTGACCTTCTGCTGGTCACTTTCTGTATTTATGGGTGTTGCTTGTGAAGGAGAAGGATAAAATGGTACCAGAACAGAATCATCAGCCCATAATTTGTCCAACAAGTGTTGTTTTGTGCAGACTGGTATTCAACGTGGCAAGTGTAGTGGGTCCTATAAAGGACAGCCCTCCTTGTATCCTAATCTCACTCAGTTGGCCTCACCAGAAATTGAACTGGACTTACCATGTAAATGCCACGGCTACAAGAGCTGGTCAGTGATTGGGAATTCAATGGCAAGTAACTCACCTCCTGACTCCCCAAAGCCTGTCCACCATCTACAGGAGCATAAGTCAGGAGCATGATGGAATACCACCCACTTGCCCCTAGCTAAGTGCAGCTCCAACAACTCTCAAGAAGCTCAACACCATCCAGGATAAAGCAGCCCCCGCACTGATTGGCATCACATCCACTAACATTCACTCCCCCCATCACCGACGCTCAGTCGCAGCAGTGTGTACCATCTACGAGATGCACGGCAGAAATTCACCAAAGATCTTTAGACAGCACCTTCCAAACCCAGGGCTACTTACACCTAGAAGGACAAGGGCAGCAGATATTTGGGAGCACACCCTGCTGCAAGTTCCTCTCCGAGCCACTCACCATCCTGACTTGGAAATATATCGGCCGTTCCTTCCGTGTCACTGGGTCAGAATCTGGAATTCCTTCCCTGACGGCATTGTCTGGGGATACGCACAGCACACGGTCTGTGCTGGTTTGAGAAGGTGACTCCAGGACAGTAACTTTTGACCTGCCTCGCAATGACCACGCTCCAATGAATGAATAAATACACTTAAACATTTCTTGTTATAATTTAAGCCTTGGAGCCTGTGATATTCTGGTAAATCTGTACGCCAATTTTTCAAAGGGCTATACAACATTTGAAGGTTGGGTATCTAGAATGTTACCACATATTCCTGATGTGGTATAACACCCAACTGTTGACTCCACCTCTTCAGTCTTTGGTTCCTTCCCTGCCCTCTCAACTCCTCCCAATCCATCTTCAATCCCTTCTCCTTCTGCCATCATTCTCACTCTATTCCATCCTTAATGTCCCCGGCCCTTTTTCTCAATCTGCTGTCCCCTCTCCTCTCCTCAGCCTAGCCCTCTCCTTCCTGCCCCCTCTCTCGTTTCCAATGCCCTCTGTCGCATTGTCCTCTGTTCCCTACCTCAATCCCTTCGTCTGTCAATCCACCATTTCATAATTACCTCTCTCGCTTCCTATTTCGAGT